GCGCCGCCGCCCCAGGCCCCGAGCGACGAGGACGACCCCAAGGCCCTGCAGCAGGCCGCGGAGGAGGGCCGCGCCCACCCGTCCCCGAGCGCGGCCCAGCCGGGCCCTGCGCCGCCCGCCCCGGCCCAGCTGGTGCAGAAGGCGCACGAGCTCATGTGGTACGTGCTGGTCAAGGACCAGAAGAGGATGATCATCTGGTTTCCAGACATGGTGAGGGATGTCATCGGCAGCTACAAGAAGTGGTGCAGAAGCATCCTCAGGCGCACTAGCCTCATCCTCGCCCGGGTGTTCGGGCTGCACCTGAGGCTGACCAGCCTCCACACGATGGAGTTTGCGCTGGTCAAAGCGCTGGCGCCCGAGGAGCTGGACAGGGTGGCTCTGAGCAACCGCATGCCCATGACAGGCCTCCTGCTCATGATCCTGAGCCTCATCTACGTGAAGGGCCGCGGGGCCCGAGAGAGTGCCGTCTGGAATGTGCTGCGCATCCTGGGGCTGCGGCCCTGGAAGAAGCACTCCACATTCGGGGATGTGAGAAAGCTCATCACCGAAGAGTTCGTCCAGCAGAACTACCTGAAGTATCAGCGCGTGCCCTACGTGGAGCCTCCTGAGTACGAGTTCTTCTGGGGCGCCCGGGCCAGCCGCGAAATCAGCAAGATGCAAATCATGGAGTTCCTGGCCAGGGTCTTTAAGAAGGACCCCCAGGCCTGGCCTTCCAGATACAGAGAAGCTCTGGAGGAGGCCAGAGCACTGCGGGAGGCTAATCCCACTGCCCACTGCCCCCGCAGCAGTGTCTCCGAGGACTAGCAAGTTCTGGAGGCAGATTAATGGTTTCTGACCCTCTTCAGGGCTGTGGAAGGGTGGGGTGGGTCATTAGAGTATTCAGGATTTACAGTGCAGTATTTCACGTGTAACTTTTAAGTTTTCAGTACAGTGCTTTTATACCTTTTAACGCAATGTTGTATTCATTTGGGTACTATTGAGTAGTGTTTAGGATTTATGCATGTTTGTTTATAAGTACACTCATTTGGTGCTTTCGCTTTTGTGCTTCCTTTCTTGAATTTTTGTACCAGAGATGTGCTAAACTTATGAAATACATTGAGAAATTTTCCATCTTATTCTTTTATATGGGACGGATGATGTGTATTGAGGCAGACCGTTCCTGGAGAGTTTGGAAGAACTCACCAGCAAAGCTGGCCTGACCAAGAGAAAAGACAAGACCCCTGCCTCTCTTTATGACCTCGCTGGGTGCAGGAACCGTCTGTGTGGAGTGAACTGATCTGAACTGGAATGGTCTCAGTGTGGGCCCTTGGCACTCTTTACTAAACACATATACAACCCCACCATGAGTAAACTTTAAAGTAAACATTAAAGATTCTTGTGATACAATCATTTTTGGAAAAGTGTACTTTATCTTTTGACAAAGTAGTATGGTTGGGGATGAGACAAAGAATTCTCCATTTTACAAAATGTACAGATGTTTTAACTTTCACCTGAAGGTTGGGAAAATCACTTCCCATGATTACTCAGAAATGTGTGAAGTTTATAGTTTTATTTTTTAAATGGTAACTCATGTTCACTTCAAAGACTTTGACGAATATAGAAAAGTATCAAAACAAAAAAGCAAAATTGCCCATAATCACATCACATGGAAATAACAACTGGTAATATTAGGTGTAATTTCCTCCCCTCTGTTTTCTACATTTTATCCTAATTAATATTTAGCTTTTGCGGGCACTTAAAGAGTGAGACACTGTACTAAGCCCTTTATATGCATTTTCTCTTTTTATTTAAGCTTCACAACAGCTCTATGAGATGAGGCTGACACTTACTACGTCTGTGCCATAGAGGAAATAAAGTGGATAATAAACTTTCCACAGATCATAAAGCTTATTAAGAAATGGAGCTAGGACTAGAACCCAGGCAGAATGAATCCAGAGCCCATATTTATCCCCACCTGCCTACAACTTCCCCCTGTTTCCTGCCTCTTAGTTTATTTCTAAAAATTACGTGTTGGAGCTGTACTCTCCCCTCCCCACTCCCAACATTCACACTGGCTCTCATGGCACATGTGCACATGACACACACAGGCTAGGCATTTTATTTTCCTAACTAATTCTCACAGTACTTTTGAGAAAGCAATATTCTGATTGTACAAATTAAGAAACAGTTTCAGAGAGATTAGTGGACCTAACCAAGTCATATTACTGCTTAGCAGTGAAGCTAAGATTTGAAACATAAACTTTCCTGAGAGTTGGAGACGAAGGAGGCTTCTCTGACAAGTGGCACAGGAGGAACACCCAAAACTCCTGGGAGAGCGGGGTGGGGTTGGGATAAGGGGGGTTGCCCACTGGGAGGGGCAATGAACTAAGAAAAAGTTCAATATGAAGCCTTCAGTGCTTCAGGGGAAGGGAGCGAATGGGTCTTTAACAAGACCAGAAATCCTTTAAACTCCGGAATAGTGGAAAAGACCATTTGGCCAAAATCAGAACCTTTCCTGGGGAAGGTGGATAATGAGGGGAACACATCACACCCAAAAGGAGTAAACTGGGAGTCACATTTGGATGATGGAGTTATAATCTGGATTGGGAGCTGGAATTTCCAACAGTTAGTGGTATTAGTCAACAGGTGCTAATAAGGCTCAAGAAGCTCTATGTGTGCTGGGTTGGAATCCATCTACAGGTTGGTAGATATCTCATGAAGTCCTTCATGGGGGTGGGCAGGGGCATTTCTGAAATAACCCAGGCAGGGGTGATCTGGCTCTGATGGCACCTCTTACCCAGAGCAGCTGTGAGAGTCACATATGTTCAGAAACTTTAGGATTGTTTAGAAATCTTACCTGCCCCCAACCCACCCAAAAAGTTTCTGTAGAATCAAACAAATCTGCCCCATTTCATTTAGAATTTTGGCGCTATCAGGATGTTCCATTTCTGGAGCAGGGCCACAGCTGTCGCTCCTGCCATGCCATGGCACTGGTCCTTTTCTCTAATTCCCTAATACTTCCCTCACTGCTGGATTGACTCCTTGAAGCATCTGTAACCCGCATATACTCCCTGCAGTCAGACCTAGAAATGTCCAAGCAGACAGTCCCCCCCCCCCCAACTCCCTATGTGTGTGTCCACGTTCCTCTCTGCTGTGAGAGGCAGGGGAACCACCCTCTCCAAAGCTGACTCAAGCTCCCTGACACAGGCACCCCAAATCAAACCTTTGCAGAAGGACAGGATGGTGAGAAGCAAGGAGCACATGGGCAGGGCTGTTTGGCTCCTGGGCTGTCTCAGAGGCAGCCTGACCTAGAGGAAGAGGCTTCCCACATGTGGAATGAGTTTAATTCGTGACATGTGGTCCTGCAGAGACAGCAGCTTGGGGCTCAGGGAAGGAGCATACAACAACTCACTTAGGTTCTCACGCTGGGCTCTGAACTGAAATGTTGGAGAGGTTGTCACATGTTTCCTGACAGGTTCACCAGCAAGGTGCTGGGATAGGTCATTTAGGAAGGGGTCAGTAGATCGTCAGTGTTCCATTCCAGGATGACAGTGTGGTAAGGCCCAGCAGCAGCTGGGAAAGGTTTTCCTAATTTCCCCATAACATGTGACCTTCTATCTGCCAACCAGAAACTTATTTCTTTACAAACACCCACATACATATTTCACTCTAATTAACTTCATTTTATTAAAGTCATAGAGGGCAAAAAGGGCCTTTGTAAATTTAATATAAAATATAATGATACCTAGTTTAAGCAGCCCTGAGGATAAATGACTAATATCATTATTGAATAGGAAAGAAATATTTTAAATGAAATTCTTGTGCAGTTAAGTACTCCCTCTGCTTGAAAAGCCTTCTATGACCCCCTCCACCTTGAGCCTTTCCTGACCAACGCAGGAGCACCACTTCCTAAGGAAACTCTCTCCCAGCCCTCCAAGTTTTATAGCCATGTTCTAAACTCCCCACCCCAAATACACATGGTGTTTATAAATACGTGCATTTTATCTCTCTCCTCCTGAATTGTTAGATGCTTAAGGGTAAGAACCTTATCTCTCCTGTTCACCATTTTATTGATGCTTGACTTAGGGACTGGCATGTGCATGTGCTTGATAAGTATTTGCTATATGAGTTAATAAACTCAAAATATTAGAAAAGAGTTACCCCTCCACACAGGAAAACAAAAGCCACTGTAGCAAACAACAGTCAACCAATTGGCAGTAGAAGAAATATAGAGAAGTTTAGATTAGTGAAAGAAAAAACACAATCAGAAAAATAGCAAAAACAAAAAACCGTTTCAAGAGTCAGTTCTTCTAACACACCAACAAAACGAGCCAATATCTAGCATTTTTTAAAAGGAGAAATAGCATAACTAACTAACTTTTTACTAGGTAAGTGGGCCAAAGAAACAGAGAGGTTAGTGCTCCAAAGGTAAACAGAAATATCAAGTAAGAAAATGAGAAGAAAAAAAAAATCCAACCTCACTCATTAAATCAAGATACTTTTTATGTATTAATTGGTCAAATATATAATAAAAGTGAATATCCTATAGTAGCTTAAGTGAAGTGAAACTGACATTCTTGCACCCTGTTAGTGGTACAGAGTACTGTGTGCTACCTTATGTATTTATTAGGAATTGTGCCTAATTTGTTGCAGATGCCATGCTAGGAGGCAGGAATGCAAGAGTGAACAGAACAGACATTGTCCTGTGCTGCAGAGCATTCACTACATTGAAAGAAGCAGGTGAATTAAAAGAACCCAATTCACTGCAGTGAGTGCCAGCCTTGGAGAAGTGTGGAGGCTGAAGAGGCACTAACAGATGCACACAACTCAGGCTTTCCGAGAGCAGGGATGTACAAATTAGCGTCTATAGGACATGAAAGTGGTGAGGGGAAGGGTAGACTTGGGAGGAGGGGTTCTTTGTGTCTGCGGAACTGCTGTGTAAACACATGCGGAAGCATGTGTGGCCATAAAATAAGTTTCTGGAAGCATAGTAAAGAGATAGGAAGTAAACAAATTTCAGAATTGGCTAGAGGCTAGATCATCAGATAAAGAGAAAAATAATACCCTGAAGATACAATTTCCTCAAAGATATGAGTAAGAAGAGAGGGTTATTTTTAATCACATGACATCTGACGTCTCAACAGATTTAAAAGAGATTATACTGAAGGATAGCCTTTTTCTGAGTAAGTGCCTTCATTTTCAGTTTTTGTGTTTGATTTCTAATTGGAGGTTTAAAACATTGCCCCTTATCCTTAATCTGCCCTGTTATTCTTTGTTTCACCTAGTATGGGTTGGAGCCTTTAAATATATTTCATATTTTCCATATCCGAACAGTTTTTTGTGTACCCCCTTATTAGCCCACATATTTGACATAAAAAATTCTTACAGCTTTTGCTGTTTGATGTATAAGTTTATTTCTTTATGAATTTATTTAATAGAGATTACTGAAGTCCAACTATATCGCAAACCTTGTGCTGAGGACTGGTACATATTGTTGAATTTAACAAAGAAAGCTCTCGGTCTCAAGGAGTTTACTTATAAACCCATAGTGTTGATAGAACACAATCAAAAAGGTAAACAAATGAACCATTAAATACAAATTACATGATTAGATAAGATATATTCAAGAAATGACTTGGTTACAGTGATACAGAATAGTTGAGGAGAACAGCTAAGAGAGGGTGCTCAGGAAATAATTTTTTTTTTTTTTTTTTTTTTTTTTTTTTTTTTTTTTTTTCCGGCAATGGATCGCAACCCTCAGTGTCGCGCCCTTACCGGACCGGGACCGGCAACGGGATCGCGACCCTCGGTGTTGCACCCGCACCTCACTCAGCCAGTGAGCGGGAACCGGTCTGCATGTGGGATCCGAACCCTCGGCGGGAGCGCCACCACACTCCCAAGCGGCGCACTGTAGCAGTGCGCCACCGGGCCGGCCCAGGAAATAATTTTCTGAAAAGGTAAAATTTCAGCTGATACTTGAAGGACAAATAGAGAGCTAGCAAGCAGTAGAGGGAACAAGAGTCAAGGCAGAGAAAACAGTATATATGAAGACACAGAGTTAATGAACTGAATTTTACAGTTGCCTTCACTGCTGGATGTAACGTTATAAATGGGCTGACCAGCGTGCAGCACCCAGCACCCTGTCACTGCCTGCCTTTATAGCTGAAGCTGCGCAAAGTAAATATTTGATTTCTCCATCTTTCAGCCTTGTGCCAGTCATGAGATGTAAGGATAAGTCTATTTGTGCTATTGCAGCTCCTAATGAAAAGTATGGAAAGAGCCAAAAGAATCACAGACAGGTTGAGCCTGACATCTTCAAACCACTGAAAAATACCAATAGCCCCCTACTTATCTCTGCATTTCTTGGCTTGCAGAATAAAGCCCTATTTCTTTAAGCTATTGTCTTATGT